ATTTGACCGAATCAAAAGCCTTGCGGATGTCAAGCTTGAAAAGAAGAGACGGTGTCTTGCATTTATGAAGCCGACGGGCAAGGTTGCGGACGCACATGAAGTTATCATGGATACTTCTAGTCTTGATAAATGCGCTTTGGGCGTTGGAGACAAGTTTGTTCATGTGCGGGGCAAGGCGGATGGCAAACACCTTCACGAGGATTTTGGCAAAAGCATGAATAAGGCTAATAGGCCTAAAGTCAGTGATCCCCTCAGCCCCTTCTTTCTTGGGCAAGAGCACAATGTTTGCAGAGTTGAGCCAGTGGAGATTGGACGTGTGGATGGAGTCAAATTGGTGAAACGCCTTCATCACGTCATGCTTAATTATTTCCCAACACTTCTTGAAGAATATACCCGTGAAGCCGTCTGGCCCCGGCGCCTTATCACTTGGCATGTCGTTTATTGCTTCTCGCACCTCCGCCTCGGTGATGGGAGACTCGAGCTCGTGCAAGTCCAACTCATGAGACTCCAGATGAAGCTCCTCCCAGTTAAAATCTTTTGCGCTTGAGGAACCTTTCTTCATGACCTCACAGAAGTGATCATGTATTAACTTCTCTTTAGCTTCATGGTCAGTGACCCATCCCTGGCCATGCTTTAGCCTATGGGTATGGTTCTTTCTCCTCCTTGCATTGACCCGGCGATGGAAATACTTGGTGTTGGCATCCCCTTCCTTGAGGTTCACGATACGCGCGCATTGCTTCTTTCGAGCCCTCTCAAGCACAGCCAAGCTTATTACCCTCCTCTTAAGCCTCGCCCTAAGGTTCAACTCGTCGTGAGATAGTTGCCGGTTTTCCTGCGCGATGTCAAGATGCAGGATCACCAAGAGGGCAGCATGAAGATGGACCTTTGCTTTAGAGAAAAGCCCCCTACTCCACTCAGAGAGGCGCCGCCCCACCTTCTTGAGTTTGTGAAACAAAATTTGATATGGCTCGGAGTGCGGGACATGCTCGTCCCAAGCCTTGCTAACCACTTCCATGAATCTAGGCATGGAAACCCAGAAGTTTTCGAACTTGAAAGTCCGAGGCCTCCTTGGCCCCTTGTCATCGGCGAGGAGAAGCGGACAATGGTCGGAGAGGGAAGAAGATAGGGCGTGGAGCACGTGGGTGCCGAAGGTGGTGTCCCACTCGGCGTTACAGAAGAACGAATCAAGCTTGCACAAGGTTGGGTTTTCCCTCTCGTTGCTCCAAGTGAACCTTCTATTTTGTAAATGGATTTCTTTTACCTCACAACTCTGGAGTGCCGCCTGGAAACGGTTAACTCGACTCCGATTAATGTTCCTATTGTTCTTGTCACGCGCACGATATACAATATTTTGTTACAACACTATTAAACCTACTTGTTTTCTATAGAAAGTGTCGCTTGTATGCGTGACTGCTTTGATCGGAGTATTTTTCAGAAATTGCTCCTTGGTATACATCAACTTTATTACAAGAAACTAGAAGTGCATATGTTGCCCTCTCTTCTGATATAGAGATGTTCTTGGGCAGTTGGAGTATTTAAGGACACAGTTTCACTGCCGTATGCATTAGTTTGCAACAGCCATGGCGAAATATGTCGCTTAGCCACACATGCCAAATTTTGGGCCAGTAAAATGATAGCGTTTCTGGGGTTTTAACAGTATTCTTCGGTGATTAAGTATCACTATTTGTCAGTTTTCAATCACAGCAGCAAATTGGTCACTCAAAATGGTACACAGGAGACAGTGCTGCATTTCTTCACATGTATACATCATGATAAGATTTTAACACCATTTGCCTTGGCAAGAATGTCAGCTTTACCGTTACTTGATTACAAATGACATGTAATCCCCATCCGCATCTATCAAATATACGCGGTTAGCATCTCTGGTACACCAGTTTAGGTAGCCGCACCACATGATCAAATTTGTAAAAGCTATGCTTAAGAGGCAAAATGCCCTTTTTCTAGAGTTCATTCACTTTGATCACATGAGATTTCTAATAACATTGGTAATACAGGTCGGCATTGGTCACAATTTCCAACTGAAGGCAACTGGATGGAAGTGGAAGCTCTCTACTTGCTTGGGGGGAGATGGTGTTTCTCAGATAAGAAACAAATCAAAACTCAACCTGTTTCCAGGGTTTGATCTGAGGCTCGGCTGGAAAGCTGAATATGTTCTTCCTGAGATTCATGGGTATGTCTGAGTCAACACCAAAATATTCTTGCGAGACATCGTTGCAAGCAGGATAGCACTATGTATCAAAAGCCTGCTAACATGGCGTTTTCAACTTGTTTTTATATTTGCTCTATGCAGGGCTGTTGGCACAGGAGAACCTGCCTTCAGTATGAACTATGGACGATTGCAAGCATCCATAGACCGTGTTGAGGCTATTGTGACCCAATCAGATCGGTGCTGAACCTCCTAGGATGAGAAGCACACCTGGACAGTGATGTTGTTATGGCCGCGAAGCGAGGGAGTTATTCAACTGCAACTATCTCAGCAAAATCTCATGGTTGTTTATTAGTGTCTTTTGAGGCTTTGCATCTGATGTACAGAAATGAGCAAACTTTATTTTAATGGAGTTTCTCCGGACCGTTTTGCAGCATTCTTGTTTTGAAGAGCATAATGAACGGTGCTCTTGCTGCTTGTGGTTGGCACATAAAACTGCCTATTTCAGAGTTCATGCTCTGAACCTCATCTTGCTCATTAGATTTCACATTCACAGCAACCTAACGTTACATTCAACAAACACTGGCAGTAACCTGGGCTACATCTGATTTTTTTTTTTGAGGGAAAACCAAGTTTATTCAGCAAAATCCACATGAAGTGGTATACAACTCTGGTCATGAGGTACACCCAACCAGACGTGGCGACCCGGACCTCTAGTTATCGCAAACTTGACTAAACTATGTGCCTCATGATTAGCGGCACGAGACTCAAAAGAAAAGTTACAATTAAAAGTAGCAGCTCGAAGGTTTATTTCAGTTACAATTGCACCATATGCACCCCGTGCATGTCTAGAGATATCGGAGACGACCTGCTGACAATCAGAAGCCACCACAAATTGATGTATGTCCAGGTCTTCGGCGAGGGAGAGTGCTTCTCGACAGGCTATTGCTTCGATTGTTGCTGGATCATGAACTCCATCGATCACAAGAGCAGCGCTACCCATATAGTTTCCTCCACCGTCTCTGCAAACAGCTGTTGCGGCTCCTCTCTGTCCCGATAGGACACCTCCATCGACGTGAATTTTGCAGAAACCCAAGGGCGGTTTCTTTGGCTGCTGCGTTACCCGGGGGGTAGCTCTTACATGCACTTGCCTGTTCCTGATAATACCGAGCTCATTAATAAATCTGGCAATGAAACTCTTAGTATCCTGGGGGCTCTGAAAAATTGATTCATGTATCGCCTTGCGTCATGCATGCCATATCGACCACAACGTCACCGTCATCAGAACAAACTGCTCATGGGTTAAGGCCTGCATCAGCGTAAACAGCCACTGCTTTGCGTTAGGCTCTGTACTTGCTATGATTTTATGTGTAAACTCATCATCCGCCAGTGCCCAGACACTTCTTGATGCAGTACAGTCTAGCAAAGAGTGACGCCACGAGTCCTGAGCTCCGCATAGGCCACATTGATCCGAAACAGCCATGTGCCGATGCGCACGAACATCGTTGGTCGGCAGCGAATGCTTGGAGAGCCTCCATAGGAACATTCTGACTTTCTCCGGCACTTCGGTTTTCCAGAGAGATTTCCATGCACTTTCCTCTGCTCTAGGATTTGAAGTACCACCTGACCCGTCAAGCAATGCCTCCCTTCGTTGCTTTGTAGCAACTAGCATTCTGTATGCAGATCTAACCGTAAAACAACCATGTTTCTCAAAGTGCCAAGCCCAGAAATCTGTTATACTACGTGTACACAAAGGAATTCCCATAATAGTCTGAACATCCATGGGCATGAACGTGGCTTGGGTTAGTTGGGCGTTCCAGGAGGCACTTGAACTTAAAATAAGGTCAGACACTCTTTGTGGTGGATTCGGTGCAATGCTTTCATAAGGCCGTAGCATATCATCCCGGGGTAGCCAGTTATGAGTCCATATATTAGTGTCATCATCATTGTCGATGCGTCTGATTACCCCATATTGAGAGTGTCTTTTCCATCCATAATGGCTCGCCACACCTGGCTTGGATGGCTTCCCAGTTCGGCTTCGAGAAACTCCCTGTTTGGGTAATAGATGCTTTTAAGGAGGCGCGCACAAAGTGTATCCGGACCTTGTAGCAGACGCCACGCTTGCCTGGCCAGCATCGCAAGATTGAATAACTCGAAGTCCTTAAACCCGAGGCTGGTACTGGTACATGCTGTATTCTAACTATATCTGGCCATGGGCCGGGCAGGGCTGGGCTTGGGCCGGGCCTAAAAATGCTCACGACAAAAAGCTGAGGCACAAGCCCTACCATCGGGCCTACTTTTCAAGCCCAAGCCCAGCCCATCTGGTAAAAGCCCTTAGGGCTTAGGGCTGTGGGCCAGGCCTCTTCCTTAAAATGCCAATATGCCAAGCCCAAGCCCGTCCAGGCCCTGCTGGTGGGCTCAAAACTCAGGCCCAAGCCCGGCCCACAGGCAAGCCCATCAGGCCTAGGCCCTGGATTTTAGGGCCAGGACTGGGTGGGCCGACAGGGCCAGGCCTGAGATGGCCAGGACTAATTCTAACACATTACCATTCCAAAATAACCGACCACACAGCCTCGCATAGAAGGATATGATAGAAAGGAAACGAGGTGAGATGTAAGGTGAAACAGCAGAACAAGATCAGGCTAGTCAAAACGCTGGGACACACGGTGATATAACCATTATAGATAGACCTGTATACCAAGAAAAAAGACTGCAATGATGTATTATCTTAATGGTGCTTCATTCACCAGTTCAAACAGTACTGCTATCAAAAACATTGTCTATTTCGATTAGGCTAAGCTTCATCCTGATAATGATGACAAGGGCTAGTAATTCATTTGCTCTTGCGCTCGTTGTTGTAGTCATCAATCAGTCTCTCAACATCCTTCCAGAACAGGCCCTCCACAAGAACACCTTCCTTTGTAAACCTGCCCAAGTAATGGAGATAAAAAAAGAATATCATGATACAAGCATGCCCTAATACACCATATACGGCAACAACATACTATGAACACACCCTTAAGCTTGTGTATTTTGCCAAGTCACTTGCAATTTGCATCTAGTATCTGCAGACTATGTGATATCGAAAGGTATAGAGGTTCTATTTCGAATGCAATGAAGCTTGTATGTTTTGCAGGACACCTGTGTAAGTGTTTCTAGTGTCTATATGCCAGAAAATATCAAACCATACAAAGATACACCAAGCATATGTGGAGCAGATATGCATTGATAATTGGTTACACAAGTAATCTGAACAGCATGGTAGAAGCATCAATCGATTGCATGCTTTATTGTTAGAATAACAGTCAAAATTAAATAAACTTGAAATGTGTGAACAATGCTAAGTAAAAGAAGGTACGTTCGGTATCGTTCAGATTTAATCATTTAAACAAGATGACGCATATTGATGGCTTATATTAGCTCAATAAGCATTAGTCAAAGTGGCAAACATACCATTTTGTAACACTCTTAGTGAAGTGGACAGGCTTGTGAGCAGAGATAGATTCTGGATCCGCGCTGGCTATTGAAAGATTGTACATGTCCGAGAATCTTGGCAACTTTGAAGATATAACAAGGCCAGTGTTATTGAAAGAACCCTGCAGAAAGTATTTATGATCATACGTTAACAAAGCTATTAAAACCATGACAGCAAATGTAATGAACATGGGCACGAGTCACAAAGAACATCGGTCACCATTAGGCATATTTTAATATAAGATGTGCTCATAGTCCAACGAGTAAGGCATCAAAACCGCATCCATCTTAATAAGAGAGGCATTGGCAGAAGAGGATTTTTCTGGACCAACAACACTACCAAGTACTTGATGAAATATATGCTTCAGCAACTGCAAATAACTGAACAGCCAGGCGCATTTCTCATTATGCTCAATAAGCAAAATGGTTGAACACCTTGCCAGTTCAGTTATTTCAAATGTTGTTTTTATCTCTTCTATTACTATTATTGACCACATATACAGTTTGTGAATTGTACCATCACACACTAGTGCTCAGGCAACAACAACAACAACAACAACAACAAAGCCTTTAGTCCCAAACAAGTTGGGGTAGGCTAGAGGTGAAACCCATAAGATCTCGCAACCAACTCATGGCTCTGGCACATGGATAGAAAGCTTCCACGCACCCCTGTCCATAGCTAGTTCTTTGGTACACTAGTGCTCAGGCATTCAATAAAAATTGGTAGCAAGTACAAAACAATGCAACTACTCAGCACAGTGTATCACAGTAAACTGCAACTAAACAGGTCAACATGATGTATCAAGGAGAATTGAATGACACGGTTTAGACTTTTGAGCGTGCACTCCAGCGCGAAGCAACACAACATACAAAGTGTAGAAACTGCTCCCTGGGAGGGGGAATGAGTAAAACAGACTTCATTTGCAACAAAAAATTGCGTGGCTCTTCAGAAATTGCAATGTGGGGAAATTCTTAAACATTGTTGAGCTTTGACACCAGTAAAGAATTTTACCCATAAATAATTAACTGCAACATCTTCAGCAGAGGTGGGAGGGGATCATAAAAACAACAACAACAACAACAAAGCCTTTAGTGCCAAACAAGTTGGGGTAGGCTTAAAATGCAATCTACACAGTTATAATTCAGTATATATCACATGTAACGTGTACAATTTTCATTTAACTCGTGCCAAGACTGCTTCCTAATCGTGCTACACAAGCTGACACATTAATTCGATTTTTATCGAAAGCAGAAATCAGGTCTAGAGTAATCGATGAGATCTAAAATTGGAATTCAGGACCAAAAAATCAAGATGAATATATAGAACTCACAGCAGGAGGGTGGGTGAAGATGATGGCATCCTTTTCCTTGGTATAGCTAAGGATCAGTAGCACCACGTTCATCACCACATACGTATCCACCATGAAGTCAAGGACCAACAGTAACAAACAACAAATTCCAAACAATTCCCAACAAAATCAGATCTAACACCAATTCATCAGAACAAGAAAATAATCGCTGCAAAGGATATAGCGCGATGCAACCGAGCAGGAACTCGCGGTTCTGCGGGAACTTCTTCGGGTAGAACTGCGCGAGGAGCGCGATGGCGATCACGGCCGTCCCGATCAGGAGCTTCCAGTTGCCCAGCCGCGTGTTCTCCACATAGCCCTTGCCCTTCACGACCTGATCGAACCGCGGGACTGAATCATGAGTGACCAAATCTAGAGGAACAAAATGGGGGAGATGGATATAGATCTCGAAGAGGAGATGGGGGGTAGGGTTTAGTGTGTATCTTGCAGTACCTCGGCGACGGTCTCGTCGAGGAGGTGTTTGATGGAGTGGGGGTCAAGGAGGTTGGCCTTCTTCGGGGTCACCTTCGCGGGCGTGGTCACCGCGCCGTCGCTCGCCATCTGCGCCGTCGTTGAGGGGGGGAGGGGGGCCGGTGCGGATCAATACGGATGAGCGGGAGGCGGAGGGGCGGGCCTCCCAGTAATATGCGGGATGTGTCGATGACGGGTGGGCGCGCTTTGTACCGGGACCCGCTTGTCAGTGGCGTGCTTATTTTGTTGATAGGTGGACCTGGTTTGCCACGTAGATCGTGGTGGGCTGGACCAATGGGAGAGAAGGAGCGGCGTCACCAGAGCGCCATGTCATCACTGAAAGGACTGCAAAAGACCTATCAATTCCTCTGTTTCGGTCCTATCACAAAAATACATATGCACATATATTCACCCTATGAACATGCAGACATACCTTATCCCTGTGAACAATTCCGAAAGACTAAAACGACACATCATTTTAGATTGATGAAGTCGCCACAGTCGTCTTCATAGTCGACAAGAACGTCTTCTCCCATAGAAACGCTTATCGACGAAAGGCCCAAAATAAATCCAGAAAAATATGACCATAACAAATATGAGACTTGAACTCTGATGAGATGGCCCACCACAAGGAATCTAACCATCAGAATTTGTTGTTAGATGTTGTTAAACACATGTTGAGAATGCAATAAGTTTGGGAAACGTTTAGAACCGGCGCACCGGTAGAGTCTTCGGCCGGTCGCCTCACGCGGAACTCCTCTCTCTCCTTCGGCCCACCTGACCAAGCAACCACCAGAAACTCGACACGCGGCTCCCTTATCCCTTTGCTCTGAACACCCGCATGCACTTCTTCTCTTTCCACGCAAAGGAACTCCTCTCTCTCTTTCGTTTTCTCTCATATATAAGCGGCCACCGCAGCTGTCCAAGGCGACGAGGGATGTGCCGGGGGTCAGACGCCGGTGCTGGAGATGACACGCTCGACCACTGCGACGGGGGGTGACATTTTTTTTTTGCTGGAACCGACCATGCGTCAGAAATGCTGGAACCAGTCGTCGCCCGTCGGTAGAGCTACAAGCCTACACTCGGGGGCAGCAGCGATGTTGGAACCGGCCGCGGCGAAGATGCAAACGGCTGTCGGCAATGCTGGAACCAGCCTCTAGAATTGCTGGAACCGACATCAACAGAGTTGCAAACCGGCACCGGCATACTCGAACCTGTCGTCGTCGGAGTTGTAACCGAAGCTCAGAATGCTACAACCACCTCCCAGGAAGCTACAACTAGTGTCGAGCGAAGCAACAGTGCGCGGTGACTTGGTTTTTGCTACAACCAACCTTCCTTTTTGCTACGACGGGCTCCAGTTTTTGCTACAACCAAGTCCGGTGGGCATGGTGACCGCGAGCGGCAACGACGCCGCTGCTCCAAGCAACTATTTGGTGTCGCGATTTTTTTGCTAGATGCTACAACCGCTTTTGCAAAATTGCTACTACCAGTGCCCCATCGAGCTACAACCGCCGTCACGGTTTGCTATATCCCACGACAGCATGTATGTTTTGCTGGAACCGACACTTGATTTTGCTGGAAGGGTGCGATCAAGATGTTGCAACAATGAGGTGCTACGAGCGGCGATGAGCGCGCCGGCGAGCTATGACCGTCGCCACCGGAGCTATAACCATCGTCGGCAGAGCTACGACCCGTGGGACGCATATGTTGCATGTGTGGAGCTGGCGACGAGGACGGCCGGCGAGGACAGCGACCGGCGACGAGGACGGCCGGCGAGGACAGCGACCGGCGACGAGGACGGCTGGCGACGGCACCGACCGGCGACGAGGACGGCCGGCGAGGGCAACGACCGGTGTCGAGGACGGTCGGCGAGGGCGGCCCGCGGATAGCACATGCAGCCGGCGAGACGAAGGGGAGCGACCAGATGCAGGGGCCTTTTTCTTTTCTTTGTACCTGCTCGTGAGGAAGAAGCGGATCGAACGATTACGCGCACCGAATCCAATGGCTGCGGGCCGACCGGCCGAAATTTGGGCCGGCGCGCCGGCGCCTATCGTTGCCCAGTAAGTTTCACATAAAACAGTTCAGATTGCACAGGATCTGATAATATTCTGGCGTTCTAGCAGGCTTAAATTGATTACTTCTGCATATTTTTCGTGATTTAATATTATCGCTTATCATGGAGCCGCATGGTCACATGGACATTGCAAAACCGGGACAACCAACTAAACCTTCCATAAAAAGTACTCACTAGTTGTATGTAAGTTGACTGAATTTATAATTTGGGTAAATTTATTTTATGAAAAAGGAATGAGAGAAGGAAAAAAGCTGGAGGAAGAAAGAAAGGCAATTGTTGGATTTTTAATCTAATAGCCTAGAAAATATGACTTACCATAAATTAATTTTCGGGCGACTTATAGCAGGTCTGTTTTTTTAAGCAGTACTACGCGTACGCGGGTGGATAATCTGAAAAGATCCGCCCCCTCATCAGCCGTTAGATCTGGTCCAACCAACGCTCTAATTTCATCCTCATTATTGCAACAAAGTCAGTGTTGCAGAATCCTCTTTGCAACAGAGTTCATGTTGTAGAAACATTCAAGTGTTACCTTTTTTTTCCGTCTTCACTTTTTTGCAACATGGATGGTGTTGTGGGAGGACTTCTGCAACATAAATGATGTTGCACAAATTAGAGGAAAAACGGGAGCTTGGGAGGAACACGGGAGGCAACTGCACTTGAGGGATCCAGATTCAAATCCTGCCACATACGAGTTATTGCGGTGGAAAAATTGCAACAAGGGCTCAGTTGCAAAATCATAATAGATACTGCTAAGAGACCCGCAGGACACGCGTTGCAAAATCGTAATAGATAATGCTAAGAGCCCCGCAAAACAGGCGTCACACG